CAGATGCGCCACGTTCTCCACGTGCGCCATGCGTGCGGCTGACCAGCCGCGCCAGGTGCGCCACTGTCGGGGTACGCGCAGAGTGTGCCAGGTGCGCCCGCGCACGTGACAGCACACATCGGGAAGCATGTGCGCCGCCACCACCCTTGTCGAGAACAAATGCACAATCGCAGCGGGATGGCCATCATGGTATCTGCTAGGCCTGCGCACAGCAGTCAACATGCCAGCACCCTCGCCGCCTTTGCCAAAAGCCAACGGACAGTGATTGCGGGGTGGCGGCGCCCGGTCCCGATTTAGCCGTGAAATGTATCTCGTTGTTTTCCCAACCATCTTGTGATGTTGGGTCCTCGTTTTGAAGAGAGCGCCCCGCGTTCTCCCTCCTGCTCCCTCCGCCCCCTCCCTCCTCCTCCTCCTCCCCCCTGGATCTCGGCCAAGGTTCCCAGGGGCGCAAATGTTGGACGGCATACTGTAGCTGCGGGATTTTCGGCGCAGCAGCCAGGACGGAGACCTCCAGGAGTTGCGCGATACCCTCGACAGTCTCGAGGACAGCCTTGATTGTTCCCAACCATCCTGTGGTGTTGGGTCCTCGTTTTAAAGAGACAGCGCCCCGCGTCCCACCTCCTTCTCCTCCTCTCTCCTCCCCCTCCTCCCTGGCTGCCGTCCGCATGCGTCCCGCACACCCATTTCGGCACACCCCTCACACGTTTCGTGGCCCCACAGGGAGCTCCACCGAAGGCCCCAGTGCTGCCGTCCGCATGCGTCCCGCACACCCATTTCGGCACACCCCTCACACGTTTCGTGGCCCCAAGGGAGCTCCACCGAAGGCATGGCTGCCTTCGCCAATGGGGGGGGGATTTGGGTGTGGGGGGGGGGGGGGGGGGGGGGGGGGGGGTTCCCCCCCTCCCCCACACCATTTCGGCACACCCTCACACGTTTTCGTGGGGCCCACAGGGAGCTCCGCCGAAGGCCCCATGGCTGCCGTCCGCATGCGTCCGCACACCCATTTCGGCACACCCCTCACACGTTTCGTGGCCCCACAGGGAGCTCCACCGAAGGCCCCAGTGCTGCCGTCCGCATGCGTCCCGCACACCCATTTCGGCACACCCCTCACACGTTTCGTGGCCCCATAGGGAGCTCCACCGAAGGCCCCATGGCTGCCGTCCGAATGCGTCCCGCACACCCATTTCGGCACACCCCTCACACGTTTCGTGGCCCCATAGGGAGCTCCACCGAAGGCCCCATGGCTGCCGTCCGCATGCGTCCCGCACACCCATTTCGGCACACCCCTCACACGTTTCGTGGCCCCACAGGGAGCTCCACCGAAGGCCCCAGTGCTGCCGTCAGCATGCGTCCCGCACACCCATTTCGGCACACCCCTCACACGTTTCGTGGCCCCACAGGGAGCTCCACCGAAGGCCCCAGTGCTGCCGTCCGCATGCGTCCCGCACACCCATTTCGGCACACCCCTCACACGTTTCGTGGCCCCACAGGGAGCTCCACCGAAGGCCCCATGGCTGCCGTCCGCATGCGTCCCGCACACCCATTTCGGCACACCCCTCACACGTTTCGTGGCCCCACAGGGAGCTCCACCGAAGGCCCCAGTGCTGCCGTCCGCATGCGTCCCGCACACCCATTTCGGCACACCCTCACACGTTTCGTGGCCCCATAGGGAGCTCCACCGAAGGCCCCAGTGCTGCCGTCCGCATGCGTCCCGCACACCCATTTCGGCACACCCCTCACACGTTTCGTGGCCCCATAGGGAGCTCCACCGAAGGCCCCATGGCTGCCGTCCGCATGCGTCCCGCACACCCATTTCGGCACACCCCTCACACGTTTCGTGGCCCCACAGGGAGCTCCACCGAAGGCCCCAGTGCTGCCGTCCGCATGCGTCCCGCACACCAGGTGTGTGGCGTGCCGACATGGGCGTCGCGGCGCGCGGGCGCTGCCGTCGGGGTTCCCAGGGAAGCCCCCTGCAGAGGCGACGCTCAGAGTCACGAGTACCGAGAGTCACGCAGACCCAAACTGTTCACAGTCGTATACATACATTTACACTGGGCGTATCCATGCACGCATTCATGCGAATAGAATCAATCGCGCGCAGATTCATTCATAATCAGACTCGCTCGCGATCCGACTCGCACGCGCTCAAGCTTTCATATTCGGACCTATCGTCTTCGTTCGTGTTGTGTACACTGCCACGCATTTCGGCACACCCCTCATACGGCTCGTGGCCCCATCGGGAGCGCCACCGAAGAAGATATTCACAATTGCGGTACTCTCAACTGCATATGGTTGGGTCCTTCGCCAGGCTAATTTTGCCACCTCCTCGGCCCTTGCCCAGGGCCGGCAGGAAGTTTGCACAGCCGCAGGGCTTTTGCATGGACATTTTCAATCTCAGCAGCTCAACGCAGAGCTGGGCATCCAGTTTTTAGATCAGCTGACAGAGCAAGTCGGCAATGCTATCGATTCATAGCTTGCCGCCGAGCGCAGTAAGGATGGGACGGAATGGAGAAACTGGGCTCAGTCTCCCATGAAAGGAGGTATGGGATGGGCGCACAAGTGGACGAATAATCTCGAAGCTTGGCACCTTGTTCTTGTTATGCATCGCCAGCGTGTTTTTTTTTTTTGGGGGGGGGGGGGGGGGGGGCGCCCGCAGCACATCCTCCACGTTGAGGCTGGCCGTCTCGCCAAGACTTGGGACGTCCATCCTGACGATCCTCCCCACCGGGGTCCCCCCGTTTGACGACAGAGTGGCATCTCGACCCATATCGCCGACCCGTTTACAGAAGGTTCCAAGGAGTTCCTCTCACAGCACGGCCTCTACCTGGGATGGAGCGCGCCCGCGCCAGTTCGCTCTGCTGGATGACGAGCAGGCAAGCCCAGCTTGCAGGATGATCGAGCTCATAGAGCAGATCGGTCACATGCCATCGCAATTACAAGGTGCCATATCTACGGTAGGTTCGCGCGGCGTTGGCGCGCCGGCGACGCCGGCGAAGGCATTCAATGTTGAATTCTGCGACGCGGAAGCACCGAGGGACAAGATACCGCCATTGGGCCCGACGGAATTCTACCTTGAACGATCGGGTCCGCGATTCATTCAAGGTTGAACGATCGACGCGGTGCCAGAAACCTTTGCGCGCGCCGACGCCGCACGAACCTGCCGTACCCTCATGCTCCAGCTCAAACAACAGGGTGCAGTTCAATCGCAGCCAGCGTTTAGGTCGACTGGCATGTTGCCATCTCTCTGCCGCGTCCGGGCCCGACTGCGACGGCCGGCGGCCCGAGAGTGGGAGTTTCACCACAGGCGGCCATATACACCTTAGGCGATGCTTAAGAAAACCTAAGTTTTCGGCCAGAGTCTCGATTATTCTTAATGTTTCAATGTAAATCCTAAGATTTGAATAGACATTCTGGGTTTTTTTATAAAAATTCTGAGACTATGCATTTCTTAACCCATGATTTCTTAAGCATTTCGCAGGGTGTATTGCGCACCAGGCAGGGCATTATATTGTGGAGCTCGTGTACACCGGAAGGTTGGAGCGTGAAGATCCTGCGTGCCAAGACGACCCCCATCATTCCGCCCAAGTTTTTCGGGGGCCTATTCAACTATCACGAACACGTCGACCGATAATGCCTTGCCAAGTGCGCCGCTGCCGCAGGTTTCCCCTGCTGCCTGCTCCGCGCCACTCTCGCTCCTAATGGCAGTTCGAGGTATGTTGGTCATCAGGATGTGCGTGTGTGTATGTCAGTGTCGGTAAAACGTGGAGGACCGTTATTGCTGGGTGCGAGTGGGCTACGTACTTAGTTCAAATGTACGTCTTCGCTCTCCTAGATCAGTGGACAAGTGCGCGCAGCCACATCCGACTCGCAATGGTCATAGATGACCTCCTGCTGCACTGCCGCGCCAGAACTTCGAGCTGGTTGCTCGCCAGCTGAATATCGCAGCCCGGCCTCTAGACAGTTGCCTCACGCACGAGCTTGAGTGCCAGATCGCCATCAAGAAAAGCCAGGTTTTAGCCTCCAGCCAAGATTCAGGGGGAAAAGAAACACACAGACACAATTAATCGTCGACTCCCAGGAAAATATGCAAAAATATGGGAAGTGGGGGGGAAGACAAAAACCCAGAAACTATGGGAAAATATGGGGAATATTTTTATTTGTGTGTATTTATTTGTGTGTCCTAATTTCCCTTTAAAGATCTCCTACCTGAGTTCCGAAATGCCCTCGGTCCGCTCGCGGGTCCCTCCACGGATGCCTCGGGGCCCAACTTCGGCATTGAAAGTGGGACTTGTCGGCCCCGATGGAGAAGAGTCGTGAACTTAACGAACGACTCCAGAAGATCCAGAAACGCTCGGCCCGCATCAGAGTGATCAAGCACCGTGGAGGGAATTACATGCAGTTGTATGATAGTGGCCTAGCCGCGGCCACCTCTTTGGGAGTGGAAGCGCGGGCATCGTCAACGCGTTGCTCGAGCAAGCCAGGGCGCAGTATCTCGCGGCAGCAGGTCAGAGATGTGCCTCCAGACGCCGTACCGTCGCCCTCCTCATCCTCCACGACCCCTTGTGGAAAGCCGGCGTATGGCCTGGCCTTTTTTGGCGGCGTCTGGTCTGGGAGGCCAGCGCCAGCCTTGCGACGGCTGCTGTTAGCCTCCAGCAGTTGCGTCTGTGTGGTGGAGAAATTTTGCCCAGGGACGCCAAAAGTTGGGGTTCCTGCACGGGCCCTTTGGGCGCCGCCATCCTTTTCCTGGCCAGGGTGCGGTGGAGTTTCCTCGGTCCCTTCAGGTTCGTGTCGCCCGCGGGACTTGTGCACCCCTCCCAGGAACCTCCCCGGCGCGCGAGGCCAAGCTCCGCGAGATTGTTCGGCATGACGCCGAAAGAGCTGCCGCCGAGATGGGATACCCAGGCGACCAGCTTCAGGCCTCAGCCGTCCGCTCTGTGCTCAGCTCGCCCGACCTGTCTAAGCAGCAGCGCGGCACCTTTTTTGCTTTCGCCACCCAGAGTATATGAACTATGGAGCGTGCCAAAGCCCCTGGATACGACGTGCCCCAAGGATGCCCCTACGGTCACCGCGCAGATGATCTTCAGCACCGCCCCCTGGAGCGCCCGGAGACCGAGAGTGCCGGATCGGATTTCACCAGCGGGGGGCTTCTTCGATGGAAAGACACACCATCTCGAGCACCTCCCCCCTCACTTTGGTTCCCAGTTCACCCCGATTTCGCGGGTGACCCTCCACCTGGCACTGGTCTGGAATCCGCTCGGTTTTGGCGTCCAGACCCCAATTTAAGGTTCGGGGAAGCTTTCGCGGGAGACGTTTTGATGGATGGCAGCTGTACATGCCACGGGAACTACAATTTTAATGTTGCTGGTTGTGCCGTTGCTTGCGTGGTCAACGATGAAGAGTTTGCCACGTTCAGCGCCCGCGTCGGAGCTTTGGGATTCCGAACATCTGGTGCTACCGAACACTTTGCCGCCGTCGCGGCTGGCCGCCGATCTCCCAGAACGGATGATCGATACATATATTATATATCGAAATTCGGATTGCAAAGGGGGCCTGCAGCTGCGCGGCAGCGCAGGATACCCGCGTCAGAATAGATGGGCTGGTGTCGAGGCCCCCGCGGGCGGAGGTCACTGTAGCCTTGGCCCCGGACTCCAGAATGCCAAGGCCCATCATAACCCCCGCGGAGTGCGGGGCACCGCCAAGCGTGCGGCAGCGACGCCGCTGGCAGAGTAGCCAAGACCGCCTCGAACCGCGGCTGCCAACCCAGTCTCGCCGAGGCAGATCAGCATCGAGGCGGCACCGCCCTGCTTGACAAGCGCCCGAGATGCGCGGCCAACGCCCTCGGAGAGTGCCCCGCGATGGCCCCGCGCAGGCACGAGGCGCTGGCCGGGCCCGCCAAGAGTCTCTCCCCTCCCTCGGGGGCCGCCTCGGCGTTGGCATCCCGGGTCCCTGGGGCACCGCCGCCTCCACCTCCTCCTCCCCCCCCACCTCCCGTGGGCTTTCGGGTGCTCCCGAGGGCCCATGTCTGGGCGATGGTCATGGGCCAGCGCCGACGCCCGATCTACCGCATCCGCGCCCGCTCGATCAGTGCTATGGGGGAGCGGCATCGGGCCGCGGCTTGCCCTGGACCTTGCTCTCAGATGCCCAGCTTGGCCTCCAACCCTCGGGCGCATAACATTTATTAGTCTGAGCACCTGGAGCAGCCCGCGAGCATCTTAGCGCGCCGCGCGCGCGGTTCTTTCAAGGAGGACAATTCGAAAGGTCTCTCGGGTAACTGCCGCCGAGGGCCTCTGGCCCCTGGCCTTGTGGGGCGAGACGGGGCCTCAGGCTGCGTTTGAGGTCGGCGCGCGCCGACCCCTGCACCCTCTGTCTCTAGTCTGGCCCACGCCGGGGGCGAGGCCTGGCGCCGCCCTGGCGTTTTCGACTCCGGGGGCGATATCCTCGTCGCCCTGGCGTCGCCATGTGATTGTTTTGCGCGCGTGCGTGTTCTTGCGCGCGCAGCGCGTCGTCTGCGCGCGCGTCCGGCGCCCCGCCTCAGAGGGGGGGCTGCGCGCTCCCGCGGCCGTGCAGTGTTCCCATCGGGGAGAATTTCCAGCCTTCTGGTTTCAAGTTGCTCGGGTCGGGATCGGGCTGTCGCCGAGGGCCTCAGGCCCCTGGCCCTGCGGGGCGCGACGTGGCCTGCGGCCTCGTTTGAGGTCGACGCAAGGAGACCCTCGCGCCCTGTTTCTGGATTGGCCCACGCCAGGGGCGAGGCCTGCCACCGCCCTGGCGTTTTTTCTATACCAGGGGTCGGCGGTGCCTCGTCGTCCTGGCGTCGTTGTGACTGTTTGCGCGCGCGGTCCGTCTGCGCGTGCGCCAGGCACCCCGCCTCGGGGGGAAGGTGCACTCTCCCGCGACAGGGTCCTTCATCGCCCTCGTCTGTTTCAGCATCGGCAGTGCCCTGCCGACTCTGCCTCTCATGGGTTCATCCTCGGCCGCAGTCGATGTGATGGGTGGCTCAGCGCCACGATGTTTCGGGCCAGGGCCAGGTCGGCCAACCCCGGGCCTCCTTCATCAACCAAGTGATGGCGCCATCATTTACCTCTGCCCACCGCATTCCCACCAGTTCGGCACACCCCTCGCACGCTTCGTGGCCCTTTAGAGAGCTCCATCGAAGCGCCCAGTGCACCGCCCGCATGCGTCAGCCACCATCCAGTACAGCACGTCGTGTCCCCGTAGGGCGGTCCATCGAAGGTCCCAGTGGGACCGCCCGCGTCCGTCAGCCACCACCCAGCGCAGCGTTCCATGGCCCCATATGGGGCTCCACCGAAGGCCCCAGTGGCACCGCCCGCATGCGTCAGCCACCACCCGGTATTCATGGCCCCACACGGAGTTTCGCCGAAGACCCCAGTGGCACCGCCCGCATGCGTCAGCCACCGCCCAGTGCAGCGCTTCGTGGTTTCAAACATGAGCTCCACCGACGGCCCCAGTGGCACCGCCCGCATGCGTCAGCCACCACTCAAT